AATTAGATTCAGATAAAAATGAACTAATTAATAGTCAGAAGGCAAATTGTTTTTTTTTTTTTGTATATTGCATTTAGTTATAATATAAGGATTTCTATACTAGGATCAGAGTCATAACGAAGAAATAATAGAAAATATTGAAGATTTTTATAATTATCAGCAAATGTGTTTAAAAGAACTTTTAAAATTAGTCTCAAAAGAGGCAATTAAAGAAGTCTAGAAGGTTATTCTATATATGGCATCAAATTCATACTAACATATTGTTATGCTTAATAACAGTATGCATTTGTGCACATATCTATTATTAGTTTCATATGGAGTTATTTGCTGTCACTATTTCAAGTTAATAATGAAAAATACGAATGTATTATTTCATGTTATGTTAATATTAATAAGATAGTTACATGATGATACTTGGAGATATATTGATTTAATATATGATGAGCCATTTATTAGAATATCATCTTTTCAACATTAAGGTGATAATAACATACAAAAACTTATTCCTAGGCATTATTATAATATTCAAGAAATTTAGGTTCAAAACCATCTACAAAAAAAAATAAATTATAGTCATTTAATGGGTCATTTTAAGAAAGCATTAAGCTACTCAATAGAAAATAATAATCAAAATGCCTTGGATGAACTTATCTTAAACTACATTACTAAAAAAAAGAAGTTCAAAATGTTCAAACTAAACTAGTATCTGTTGAAAAAAATCAAGTATATGATAATATTAAAGATCCAGTAGTGTGTAGGGGTAAAGGTAGACCTCCAAATAAATGGTTAAAAGCTTTTAATGAAGAAACAAATAAGGTTAGTAGTAATAGAAAACAACAGGTATTTTATAATATTGCTGACAATGATGGTGAAACTAGATGTAGATGTAAATTATATCATAAATCAGGTTATTATGCCTCTAAATACTCTAATAAAGAAAATGCAATGTAATTAGAAGTCTACTGTAATAGCTAGGCTGTTTAGTTAACTAGCATTAGTGCAGTAGTATTTTATTTTTAATTTACTTAAAAGACTAATTCAAACGTGTTGTAATATAAGTCATTCTGAGATCTTCTTTGCTGAATCTTAAATATTAACTATTGTTATTAACAGTCTATTTAACTTTAAGCAGCCTAATGTTAAACAAACCAAGAGCAAATTGAATCGTTTTGCTCTTGACTTGTATTATTTATTATGATCTTACTACATATAATTGAACTTTCCTAATTAACAATCAAATTCTACTTCTATTGTAGTATTGAAAATAGTATACTGTATTATATATTTACTGTAGTATCGAAAATAGTAGTTATAATGACTATCTTGATTAGCAAAATAAAATATAATATATTTAGAATTAGATTTGGTATATCATATAAGCAAAATTTTAATTATATTGATATATTGTATATAATATAAATTTAGTATCATATGATTTATATAAAGGTGGCATATAATATATATCGCATCATACGCTAAATAAATTTACTCATATTAAAATTAGTTTTATCATATGACAAAATCCAAAATATAGTGCTAATAAAATGTTATGTTGGCATTACTAGTTCCAATCTCTACTTGCTATTTAATGTTAGTCAAAATTGTCAACTTTCAACTAAAATTCTAAGATAGTGTTGAAATTCTCAATAATGCTAACATCAAAATTACATAATTAAAAATTTTATATTAGAATCTTAAGAGTTGAAAATATTAATTATTAATAATTAATATCAATTTTTTATTTATCATATTATTATATTTAGATCTAAATCTAATTATTAATTTTAAAATTTTAATATTATTTTACAATTATTAATAAATAATTTAAAATTATTTATTTATTTGTTTAATTGATTATTATAAAAAAATTTAAATATAATTATAATAGCTGATACTAAAATTTTGATTTTTATTTTATTATATATTTTTATAAGAAAATTTATAATTGTTTGAAACACAGGTTTAATTTTTTTTATAAAAAAAAATTTTTTATAAGAAAAAAAAAAGAAAATTTATTTACTTTAGAGTTAGTGTGAGGCTTGAGATTTTATTTAAGTATTAATATATGCAAAATTTGGCGAGAAATTTTTTTTATTAGAGCTCCAAAGGTGGTTTCTTAGATGAAATTTTGAGATATTAATATTTTTTTAAAAAATTATTTGTTACACAAAAAGATTTACATGTTACACCTGTTCTTAAATTTTAATTGGCTTTTCTAATACTTTGTGTTACCTAGTGTACAAACACCCCGTGTACAAATAGTAATTGTCTTTTTATAGTATATAATTTATTATAAAAAATTGGTACATTTTTAACCTGTTTCTATAATTATTTATTTTATTAATTCTACTAAAATTTACATACTAAGGCCATACAAAGTTAATTAATTGTTTCTCATAACATGCGAATTTAAAAATGACCCGTCCGCCCGGCTTTTAATTTT